GCTCAATATTTTTGAAGGCCACCTTTTTTCTCGACTTTATGCTCAAGTTATCTTTCGATTCAAGAGGAAAGGAAATGGGTATTTACGAGTTTTTAGTACCTAATTAAATGGAGGAAGTTTGCCGACTGATTATATATTAGTTGATTACTGTTAATCATAAATTTTATGCCATAGCCCAATTTTTTTAGACAATAATTTCTGTTAAAAGTAGAGGAAACAGTGAAACTTGTGTGATGCGTGCTCCAGATTTTTTTTACTTTCACTTACCTTTCTTTTTTCTTTCTCATCCCTTTCTGGCACCGGGATTTGAACTCATAATCTTACATACGAAATTGAATAGATTTAATTTGTTAATAGTTGTCTGAAATAAAGGATTTTTATATAGTTTTGTATGGAATTTAATCACCTTTAAGAAAAAAACAGGTTAAAATGTTTTTATTAGGCATCAGTAATAAAAAAAATAGGTCCGCTAGTTCCCGAGATAATCTTGGCACAGACAGACAGACCAATGGCAAAAAATGTGTTTTTTGGACTCAAACGTATAGATCCGTGGAAAACGCACATCAGAAATTTGACCCGATAGCAATACCTGATTTTTTCCTGAATTTTCCCAGGAATTTAGTACATGTAGGAAAATCGTAATGACATTAATTAGAAAATTATAGGAAGTTTCATCAAAATCGTTGGAGCCGTTTTTGCTTCTAAAGTCTATTTTACTATTTTTTTTATTTTACTTTGTCTTATTGTTGATCTTTGATTTTAATAACAAATTAGTTGCCCCATGTGAATAATTCGTATAGAATATTGGTCAGTGAACAACTAACAGTATTATATAAAAAGAAGTTAATGATATGTATTATGAAAGAGAAGAAATAATTTTCTTTTTCTCAGTCAAATCACATTAGTTCATTCAAACTGATAATCCCAAAAATGTGTTCATTAGTATAGGCTGTATCTTTGTAAATAATAGTCTGATTTTGATAAAAATTTCTTTTCGTTTTGTAGAGAATTTAGTATATTTTTAAATAATCATGTGTCTAATAAAAAAAAAAGTGTACTTTTTAGTAATTTATAAGTTTTTTTTTTTTAATTTCTTTATTGAGTATTATAACAATCTGTCTGTTGGACATTTGTTATAGTGAGGTAGGATGACATTCACACCATATGTACAAAAAAAATAAAATAAATAGAACAAAATAATAATCAAAAGTATATACAATAGACAATAAAATAAAATAACCTAAAAAATAAGAAAATTAAAACTAAGAAAAAAAAAACAAAACACATGCATACCTATATACAATCAGGCGAGAGAACTCCAGGAGAACCCTGCGCTACTCTCCCAACCGCGTCACTGGTACTAAAGCCAGCGGAGATTGGTCGAGAGCACTTTAGCCACATACACACATGTCTTGAATGAAAAATCTGGCCATTGCCAGAACTCCAATTTATACAATCTACAAAAGGTCGCGAGGCCATTGCCGTTTCAACCTTCTTGGAGGATTATAGGGATGGAAGATGCTTGATAGGGATTATGCAAGAGGATTTGGGTGGTAAGTAAGGTTCTGGTGAAATTTGGAGAATTTTTCTGGGATAAGGTCTAGGACAAATGGGATGTTAAGGTCATGATGTAGGGTTTTGTTGGATACATAGAAAGGAGCATCGACTATTGTTCGAAGGACGTTAGACTGGAAGGATTGGATGCGCTTGATGTTAGAAAATTTTGCTGATCCCCACAGTTCTAGTCCGTAAGTCCAAATAGGTTTCAGTATTGTCTTGTAGATCAGTACCTTGTTTTCAATGGAAAATTTAGATTTCCTGCTTAGTAGTCGGTATAGTTGGCCGTATCGTCGGTTGAGTTCTTGTCTTTTGAGTCTAGTATGCGGGTTCCAATTTATAAGTAAAGATTCTTTTCATTCATGATTTTTTTTCCTGAAGTTTTGGGTGGATGTTACTGTGATTCGTCACTACTCCAAGTTTAATATCTCATTCCGCAAAATCCATCGCTTCTGAGAGCCGGAAAAGGGATGTTTACAGCGAAAAAATTATTCTGTTATATTATAAAGATAGATATTGAAAGTGAAAAAATGTTTTTCACTTATTGCTCAGCCACTATTGCGCAGAAAGCACCCGATTTATTTCACAGGCGTCAGTAATCAAAACCCTACAAAATAAAAAAAGAAGCACCAAAATCGGTCTACTAGTTCCGCAGATAATCTTGGCACAGACAGACAGACCAATGGTTGAAAATGTGTTTTTCAGACTCAGTAGGCATTGAAACGTACAGATCCATCGAAAACTGTACATCAGAAATTTAAAAAAAAGGAAACCACAACTGTGGAGGGAAAAGCATGACTCCAGGAGATCCCTGCACTTCTCTCTCAACCACGTCACTGAGGCTAAACCCAGTAGAGATTGGCCTAGAGTGCTTTAGACACATACACTCATGTCGTGAGTGGAGAATCTGGCCATTGCCAGAACTCCAATATTTGCAAACTATAAAAGGTCGCGGGGCCACTGCATGAAAAAAAAGCTTTCGGGCTGAAGCACCTCCCAAAATTAAATCCTGGATCCGCTAGTGAATAGGATTGAATTGCAGAAATTAAATAAAACTGAAGATGATATTTAAAGAAAAATAAAAAAAATTTAAAAATAAGAAAGAAGTAACAGCTGTCAATAAACAAGAAAATTATAATTAAAATCACAATGAATGTCAATTTGTACTTCAAAATAACATCAAAATGTTATGTATGCTTTTCTTTATCTATAAATATGAAGTACAACAACTTTTAGTTATAAATCGTTTGATTATTTTTTTAATTTTCTCTGACATATATTTTTATTATTCCCAAGGACATATATATTACATAATATTCTCATATTACATGAATATATATATGTAATCATTTATATTACATGATTTGTTTTTTTTTTAATTCTTACATCACAAAATATCTAAATTATGTGTCACATTGTGTACAATGGATAGCATTGTGGTATCTCTGACCTGTGACCTTTTTATTATTACCGAACATATTTTTTTTTTATTATTAGAGATGAATTAGTATTTTGTGATGGTACGTTCGAACCAAGTTAAAGTTTGTAAATTTCCTATTTATTATCAGGTACTGAGCTATTTATTAATTAAGTATGTGTTTTAATTTTGAAAATTATTTGTTTTGTTTCTATAAGTGATTGAAATGGGTGTTTAAAAGACTTTAAAGACTTTTTACTTGTCGAAAAATTGTTTACTGGCTTCTGAAATGTTATATTAGTTTCCAACGTAAACAATTTTGTTATATTGTTTGAATAAGCAATGTATAGAAACAATTAGTAGTTAGAACAATTTTCTAATATATACTCAAACTGATTCGTTTTAATATGTTCTTGATACTTCATTAGTGTTTGGAACAAGTTTTATATGGGTTTATTTATCTTTATTAAGATTATGATATATGTCAAACGTTAGGGTACCTGGAACGCTGAATGATATATATTTATAACAGTTAATTATTATTAATATTGTTGAATTACTTTATATTGATTATTGTTTGAGAAGAATTAATATTATAGTATAATGTTGAAAATTAGAGTAAAATACAAAATTAAATGGCCCACTTTACAGCTCGGGATTAAATCTCTTTGAATTATATTAAATATTTATTATATTTATTCTTTCATTTACTACTGTCATTGACATACTTACTGTATTCCAACGGTTTAATCATTAAAGATACTGGGGGAAAAAAAGTTTTTTTCTTTTAGTTCATTCCTGTTTTAATTGTACATGTTGTATTTGGAGGGTTTATAGTTGTTATAACTACATGTATAAAAAAAAAAAAAAGAAAATAGCTTATAGCATCAAATAATACTTCAATGTGTCAGTATGTTGATTTCTTACCAGTTTTTCAGTAGTTTACTTTAGTTAATTAATCCATTTGTTACTATGTGTAATCTCCTTATATCCACATTACCACATAATGACTTGTAAACATTAACTTTTGTATGACTAAAAAAAAAATCCTTGTAATCTTCAGTGGAAGGGATTTTACGAGAAGATTGCATGTCATAATTAACTTTTTATTATTGAAAAATTTAATAAGTGCCTAAAGCTCATTTGAGTCTTCGTCTTCAGAACATTATCAGTTGAGGAATATGATGCCTAATGACAGTTCTGATTATAGTAAGTAGAGAGATACTTTCAAGTAGTATTAACGTTTCAATCATGTTATGATTAATTGATTTAATGATTTCCGAATTTACGTTATGTAGTGATGCAAATTTATTTTCCGATAACTGTTTTAACCAATGATATTAATTAATAATTTTAATTAAGATTTCATTGAGAAATCGAATAAGAAACAGGTATGTTCCATAAACAGATATATATACAGCTCTAGCTATAATAATGTGATGCTTCCATTTTGGTTGTGACCGCATTATAGGTTCTAAAATGAGAAGGAGTTGATCGGGGGGTGCGGTCAAATAAATACTAAATTTTATAAAATAGTATTTTTAATAATTATGCCAACGTTTCGACCCACCTTGCAGGTCTTCATCACTTAAAGACCTGCAAGATGGGTCGAAACGTTGGCATAAAAATACTATTTTATAAAATTTAGTATTTATTTGACCGCACCTCCCGATCAACTCCTTCTCATATTATATCACGATCAACCATCTCCACATCATTATAGGTTCTAAACTTTGTGAATTGATTGGCACTGACAATGACATACTAATTTGCAAAGCTTATTATTTTTTTTTTTTAAACAGAATATAAAAAAGCACAAAATAGGCCCCAATAAGACCATAGTACATATATGCCAGTAAAATAAAATATGACTGATCTCTTAAAAATTATCATTTAGAATGAAACTGTTCGGAATCTTATTTGTCAGTGTAGAAAAAATCTTTGTTCTTGTGTGTGTGATCATTTTGATAACAGAACGATTTAATTATAACACATTGAAGAAAAATGATATTTTTTTTTTTTTTAGAATCAAAAGGAGAACAAATGGATACAGACGCTGATGATGAATATAAAATCAGACACCGTTTTCCTGTAATCGGTGTCGAGCCAGTAATGTTCCTATACATGGCAGCTTTTATGACAACAACTGTCGTGGAGGAACAATTTTTTGTTTATAAAGCATGCTCCGTCAACTTGGGATACCCAAAAAACATTTGTCATCATATTAATGAGCAAATTTATAAAAATTACAGCACTCAAGTCCAGGTTGGTAATTTAGCTACTTTCCTGATTCTTTTATATATTTTTTAAAATAAGAATCTGAGAACAAACTCTCTTCTAGTATCCAGTTTAGAAAAACATTTTTCAAATGTCCTATTTGCTTTCTTGTTACTATTTTTTTTCTTTTAATTTATTGGAAAAGTAATTATTTCTTTATTGACATGCCTAAACGAAGTTCCTTTCAATTTGGCTTATTCTTAAGTTCATTCTATAATATGATTATTATTATGCTTTTATCTGTAATTTCAATTTTACATTTAAAAAATGGACAGAACTAGGGAAAGTAGTTGTAGATTAATGGAAAAATATTCTAGGAGAAATTATCGCAACGTGTGGTCCGTGAAATTAGTTGGAAGTCATTAGAAACCAAACCTGAGTGAAAAGTATTTTAATTATTAATTTAAAATATAGTACTTAAAATATTTTGTTTTGTTTTTTAAATACAATGTATTATAATTAAAAAGTATTTAAATTATTTTCAGAAAACATATTTTAAATACAAAATACTTTCTGGCGGCTGATCACCATATAACACAAGGAATCTATTCTATTTGGTAATTTATTTAGTGTATTCAAAATACAAAATAAAAGATATTTGTTGTATTTTAATATCTTGGAAAAAAATACAAATACTTTTTTGTATTCTAAAAATTGTGTACAGTTACAATCTGTTTTATATTTTAATTCTTAAAATGTAAAATACAAAAAATGCATTTTAATTTGTATTTTCAATACTTAATTTGAAATATAATTGGTAAATGGTTGACTGTCGTGGATAATGAAGAGAAGAATAGTTGGGGTGGTCAGTCAAAAAAGAAGGCAAAAATAAATGATAATATTTATTTTTACATATGCCGACGTTTCGACCTGAAGTTCAGACCTTCATCAGGGCTAAGAAAATAACCAGATAACAAGGTATGAGAAACATAAGTAGTGATGGTAAAAAAAATAAAATAAATAAATAAATAAAATAAAATAAATAAATATAAAGTAAAATGAAATTTACTTTAATTAAGGTTATTTTCTTAGCCCTGATGAAGGTCTGAACTTCAGGTCGAAACGTCGGCATATGTAAAAATAAATATTATCATTTATTTTTGCCTTCTTTTTTGACTGACCACCCCAACTATTCTTCTCTTCTTTATTTGAAATACTGCTTGGGTCTGTTATAAACAAAGAACCCTTAAGTTTATATCATGTGGGTAGTTAAAAATTAATCATAGTGTTAATTTGTAGTGTCGACAGAAATTTCTCCACATGCATGAACAAATGCGACAAAGTAATATCATGTAAAATTAATGATATGAAAAATTTCAGTATTTTTCCACCTCCTCAGTAATCAATCTTCCGAATTTATGTAAAATAAAGTTATTTTGTACTTTAGAGATGCCAGTTACACTATACTAATATCTCACAAATATCTATGTACGTTCCATATTGCTTATTTGCACAAATACGTGAACTCACCCGTATGTAATCATCTTTAAATTCATACGTCTACTTCAAGATCATATGTGTACTACAGTGTCTTTATTATTGATATAAATAATTTTTAATGTTATGAAAAATTTACATGCTTCTTTACTTTAATATTAAGATTAGACAATTATGTAAATGAATTTATAATCAGAATAACTACAATGGCCAGACAATTGTCATTTCTCTGTTCATTGAAGTTATTCTGAGGGGACTAAATTTCCCAGAATAAAATTTATTTCTTTTTTCTTCCTTATTTTATATAAAATAAAAACTGAATGCTTCATTTTTTTAAAAGAAGCTATCTCTTCCGTTGTTTTATAATATTTTTTTGTTCAAAACTACGTACTCCTGGCCCATTTTTAAAACATTTGTTTCTGTTTTAGGCAACACTACAATTAACTTATTATGTAATCAATAATACCTACATAAAAACATAATATGTATTAGTATACCTGGGTAATGTTATCCATTTTATAAAAACAAAAATATTTTTAACATCCATCTCTATTGTTATTCGCCTTTCATTATTTTATTTTATTTTATTATTCATCATTTAACCGTCAACATTCGTCTCTAGTTATTTTAATCCATGACTAACGAATTGTCATAATTTAAAATTTTTATATATAAATACATCTTTTAATAGATGAAAGTTGTTCAATTTTCAGTTAGATTGCATTTATAATCAGTTATTGAATTTTGTTCCAATCCTATTAGGCGCTTTCATTCCCTTTATTTATGTATTTGCACTTAATTAGCAGCTATGTTTTTTATATGCCAATTTATGTTTGTTTTTATATTTTTTTTCCAAGTTATTGATGATATGTGCATAGTGGCTTTTTTATATATAAAGCTTCTCATATTTTTTTAATGTTTAACCATATCTAAAACTTTTACATTTTCAAAGTCAAAAATGTGGTTATTTATTATACTTTGTTGTGACAAAGCTGTTGTATTAATGTTTTTTACATTTTTACAACTACTTTTGTATTATATAATTTTGGTTTTTAGTTTTTTGGACGTTTCTCCTATGTATGTTTTTTCACAGTTATTGCATTCAAATTTGTAAATAGCATTAATATCTTTGACATATTCATCATCTGTTAATGCTATTGCTCCTTTTTTTGGTATTGTTGGCTATATTTATTTTCTGTGTTATGACCTGTGGGGTGTTGCAAAAAATTATTGAGTAAGACATTACTGGTGATTGATTCTTGGTCCATTTTGAATGCTATTATGTAAAAAATGGTTAACTAAAAAAAATTATTCTATTATGACGATAAAATTAGGGTGTTGACAGACTTTTTGGGCCTAATGTATGAATAAACATGAAAATTGGAAGTTTTTGGTCAAAATTTATACTCATCATATTAATTTTTAGGAAACCTTAATAGGTTTGATTTATAGAGATTTGACTGTGTATTTAGGTACACATATGTTCAGATTTATATGCATATATATATATTTCTAAATGATACTATTTGGAAAATATTAATATCCTTATTGATATTATTTTTAATAGTATTTAATATTGTATAATATACACTGGTCTTTCAAATTTTAATAAATTAATTTTATTCTAATCAAATTTATTAAATTTTAGATTGAAGTTTCAAAGTTTCATCAGTATGAAAACATTGCTTCTCATGCGGTGCCTGTCATTCTTGCCTTCATTCTTGGATCATGGAGTGATCGTGTTGGTCGCAAACTGCCAATGCTTCTGGGCCTTATGGGCTGCCTCGTATACTCATTCATGATTTTCATCAATGCTCTTTTTGGTAATTACTCGCATTGCAGATTAGATTAAACATTAAATTTTGCTTACGAATGTTTCTGAAAATAGCACATTTACTTGACTTTATTTCTCCAGTATTTATATTATATTTGAAGATGATTAACTTAACAATGATATAAATTTCTAGTTGTTAACTATTTGATATTTACAATTAATATTGATATATTAAACTTTAATTGTAAAATTGTATTTCTATTTTAATATTTTTTATAAAATCTTTAAATTTTTCTAAGGTTACATAGATATGGTTATAGATTCAGTAAAAGAAAGCCAATAATAACTGAATGTGAATATTAAATTGACAACAGGGTTAATAAAATATTTAAAAGAAAATAATGAAGTAATAAATATTTAAAATATATCATAAAATAAATAGGTTCATTCAAGGTTCCTTTAAATACTTCTTCAAGTGGCGATTAATTTAAGGACCTAATTTAAATTTACTTTTTTCATCACTAAGGACTTTATGTAAAATAGCTACCTAATATTTTTGTTCATTAACCAAAAGTAAAATAGATTTTTAATTATTAATTAATTTTTATATTTATTAAAAATCTATAATTAATAATAATTGTGGGTAAATGGTTGACTGTCGTGAATAATGAATAGAAGAATAGTTGGGGTGATCAGTTACTGCTTTACTTATGTTGAAGTTCTCTGATTCTTTTCTGTTCTTCTTAAATATATTCGGGTAATAATACATAGATTTTATTGGACTTATTTTTATGGTTACATTTTTACCGCTTAAGGCTGTCCAAATTCCTTGTTTAATAACCAATACATAGATTGCTAAATGCTCTTCTCTCTATTCCATAAATGATTAATAAATCTCCTAAATAGATGTTATTCAATTTCTCTTATATTATCAATTTTAATACTTACATTAGATACGTTTAGTCAAACTGAGCGTTAATAGAAGTATTGAATCTTTTCTTTAAAGTTTCAAGCAATTTTTATTTTATGTTGTTGAATATTTTTAGAATTTTACTTTTTTTTTATACTTACTTATATATTTTGTTTTTTCTGAATTTTAATATATTTATTGTTTTGAAAATTTTTTTGATAATTTATGTTTACTTTTAAATATATTTTTAACAGAAACGTGGCCTGTTGAGATGATACTCTTCACCGCAAGTTTCCCTTCAGCTCTGACCGGCTCCCATTTGACCGTGTTCATGGCATGCTTCACCTATCTGTCCGACACGACAACCAGTGAGCAACGTACACTGAGGACAACTCTTCTTGAAGTAGCCTACCTCCTTCCTATGCCGATCGGAGTTGCCTTTGGTAGTTATATACTTAGTATTGTTAGTCATTATGTCATAAGCATTATTAACTCTTAATTACTTTCACTTACTTATGTATAAAATATATAGTACAGGAAAGTATTGCGGTCGTGAAAATTTTTGAATCTCAGTTTTCAACAGAAATATATGTTTTGAGGTCCTCTGAGCCCAAATAACTAAGGCTCACAAAATGGTCTGTGAGTATGTATGTCTGTTAACAGTCTAGCTCAAAATTGGTACTTTTTTTACTGTAATTTTTCGAACCACCATTGAGGGCAACAGAAAATCTAATACCTATCCCATGGCGCTATGGCCTTACAAGGGCCTGGTTCTCCTCCATTATTTTTTGGCACTGCTCTCTATTCAGTGCTTTTCTTCGCTATTGTCTTATTCCTCGGCTATGGAGGACCTATTCTAGGTTATCCAGCCATCTTTTCTGACAACATCCCCTGCTTCTGCTACCTCCAGGCTTTCCTCCTAATAACTTTTTTGGTATTCTGTCCGCTGGCATTCTCCTAATGTGCCCCAGCCACCTCAACTGACTCCTTCTTACGTCACGACAACCAGTGAGCAACGTACACTGAGGACAACTCTTCTTGAAGTGGCCTACCTCCTTCCTATGCCGATCGGAGTTGCCTTTGGTAGTTATATACTTAGTATTGTTAGTCATTATGTCATAAGCATTATTAACTCTTAATTACTTTCACTTACTTATGTATAAAATATATAGTACAGGAAAGTATTGCGGTCGTGAAAATTTTTGAATCTCAGTTTTCAACAGAAATATATGTTTTGAGGTCCTCTGAGCCCAAATAACTAAGGCTCACAAAATGGTCTGTGAGTATGTATGTCTGTTAACAGTCTAGCTCAAAATTGGTACTTTTTTTACTGTAATTTTTCGAACCACCATTGAGGGCAACAGAAAATCTAATACCTATCCCATGGCGCTATGGCCTTACAAGGGCCTGGTTCTCCTCCATTATTTTTTGGCACTGCTCTCTATTCAGTGCTTTTCTTCGCTATTGTCTTATTCCTCGGCTATGGAGGACCTATTCTAGGTTATCCAGCCATCTTTTCTGACAACATCCCCTGCTTCTGCTACCTCCAGGCTTTCCTCCTAATAACTTTTTTGGTATTCTGTCCGCTGGCATTATCCTAATGTGCCCCAGCCACCTCAACTGACTCCTTCTTACGAAGGATACCAGGTCTGGTCCACAGTACATTTGTTGAAGTTCCGCATTTTTTTTTATTTATTATTATATTATTATTATTTTATTATTTATTTATTATCTGATCTTCCACTATCACAAACAGTCCAAATATTCTCCTGAGTACTTTCCTTTCAGAATATTCAGAATCTTTTCACTCTTTTTTTATCTAGAAAATATAATAGAAACACTTAATTTCTTATTTTTATGAGTCATTTAAAAAATATCTATATTGACATCTACAAATTTGTTTCTGAATTCTCCATGGTATTTAAATTTTGAGATATTTCAAACCAAATGTTCTTTTTCCCTTTCCTATTCCCTAACGAGGCCTCAAGTCAAAATACAATTTTTAATTATAGCTCAAAAGAGGATGAACTGCTGAAAATTACCCTTGCTTAGATTGTGCAGGTTTTTAGTTTTTGAAGTATTTTAATCCAATTGTTCGAAAAAAACTCATTACCATTTGGTTTTTGACACTATATTTTTTCCATTTTTGTCTCTCTAACATAATGTCATGTCAAGATACAATTTTGAATGATAGCTCATTAAAAATAGGATGAAATTCTGAACATTCCCTTAGCTTACAATATGCAGATCCGATTTTTAGTTTCTAAGATATTTTATTTCAAATGCAAAAATTAGTCAACTAGAGCCGACTTTACCCGAATGAGTGTCATATAGCAAAATATGACTGCCCAGTTTCATTCAATATCCACAAAAAAAAAGTGGATTTAAGCATACCTAAAGATGTTTTCACTTCAAAAATTGTGATGAACATTTAATTTATATGAACTTTTTTTTCACTGAAAAGTTGTGATTTGACAATTGCCAATAATATACTTTAAATGCATTATGTACTATCATTACTTTTACATTAAACTGTTGGTATTATTTGGTTTCAGGTTCGTACTTATTCAATGGGCCACTGTATCGTTCTTATGGAGGAATGTTTCTTGTGAATTCGCTATTCCTATTTATTGCAATCGTTTATACATTCTTTGTTATTCCATGGAGGACACGAGACTCCCTTGAAGGAGATTATAATGCATGTACTATTAAACATTTTAGCAACACCCTCAAGACTTTAGTTACAAAACGAAAGGAAGGAAGAAGACTTTTGCTGATTTTATGCCTTATTGGACTGGCTTTGTACACTTTACAAAGAGGTATGTAATATTTTGTCACTTTGCAAAGAGGTATGTTATGTTTTTGTTTTGTGGATAGTAATAATAACTATCTTTTCACACTTATTTATTTATTCCTCCCTTTCTTGCCTTTCGGCTACACGAGATTTTGCAGGAATCGCATATCACAACACGTATGTCATTCCTGCTATTAAACGGCGAGTACTTTAACGATTTCGTTTTGTTTTTCAAACTCTTCTTTTTCCAACATTTTCTTTTCACAATATCAGTCTGGTGACCTTCCATTAGCAGGTCCTCTTCTTCCCAAATAATCTTTAAAAAATCTTTGTAATACGGGTGGTTCTGCTCCGCCAATAACTGGGGAAATTCATCCTCTGTGAGGCCATAGACACCAATGTTTTTCATCATTCCGGCCCTTAGTCCATCAAAGGCATACTTATTTACCTTTAGCTCAATTTAATAAATAATCACATTTAGTTTTTGATCACTATTTATTGATATACGTTTTGCGGAATATTTGTTCTCCTGTTCATCTAAAATAATAAAATTAATATATTATAGACTCTATTATTAGAATATTCATGCAAAAAGATGTACTTAAAGTCACTACAAACTTTAAAAAAAAAAAAAAAAAGAATAAAACAACATAAAAATTCAATAAAATATAATAGAAACCATACAACTTTAAGTACTCACACAATAGAAAATAAACATAATCATGAAGTCATATTTGACAATGTAAAAAGAGTAGGCAGAGAAAGGAGTGAACGCACCATTTATGGACAGGGGTTCCAGTGATGGACAGTTTGGACTTTAAATGTAAATAATAAGCTTCCTTGTTGATTTAAAGGTTCCAGTTTTTTCTAGATTGAAGAACAATGGCCTCTATTGACAACTGTATGAATAAAGTTTACAAAAGAAAATTTTAAAATGCCTATCATTGTTTCTATAGTGTTCTTGAAGTCAGTGTTTCATACCTTCCTACTAACAGTTTTGCTTAGAGTAAGTTGAACATTTATTTTTATAGCTACGCAAAGTTTTAGAATTTTTTTTTTACAATAGCAATCAGGTATTTGTGTCTCATTTTTGCTATATTTATAGTGCTATTGAATCAAGTATAAATTTGGTATGGTCACTAAGTTTTATTTTAAATTGTAATCATGTAATTGATTCTGGTTTTGTCCATCTCGTTATAAAAGTGACTGTACGAATGTATAAGAGTTAAAAAAAAAATGTAGGAAACATGGGAATTCATTTATTTATTTATTTCTCAAATGTTCAATAATAATTATGGTTGAATTTAAACCACTTCCCAAACACTAGTTAATATTAAATATATAACTAATGCATTTTCAAATATATCGATTCCTTTCTGGAACCAATAGAAATATACAAACAATATAACAGGCATAATAATCCTGCAATTAATCGCCCTACCCTATTAAAAATATATTCCATAGACAAGCAGATAACCAGAAACGTAGCAATAGCTAGAGATTCGAAACGTCAAACAGAGAAGTTTATAACTATAACAATTACAGCAGCATTAGCCAAAAAAGAAAAAAAATTCCTTAGCTATGTCCATTCCTTGTGCGCACACCCTATACTACCACCAATCACTGTTAAAACATACTTTTATCCACCGATTGCCCTCCAAACCAAGCCCCGGAATATGCTTTAATGGAGCAATCCTCCCACTTTCTCTTTGATCTACCCCTTATCAGTCGGTATATTTACCTTTTAAGAATTTTTTTACCACTAAGCACAACAATTTTTACATACCCATTTTATTTGTTGCAAAGCTATCATTTTAATTAAATTTTTAATATATTTACAGTTCACTTGAGAGCTGATGACTGATGATATTAAATCATTTCCCATTGTAACATTCTCGAGTTTAGCGGCACTGGTTTAAATCCAGCTTGGTAGGTTTGATTTTATTTTGTGGTGGACCCACAGAACGAATCTTGACGTTCTCATTCTGGTTAGAATAGGTTCGGTTGCACCTCTAAAACAACCACTTCACCCCCCCTTCCTCCTCCCACACATGGCAAAAATGATGAGGAAGAGGATTTTTCTAAATAAGAAAAAGAACCATTTATTTTGGAGTTGTCAAGCCATCTAAATTTTAACTCATCCTTCTTCAGTCCAAATAATCTGTCTATCACTTGATTTTCAAAAACCCTAAATCCATCATCGCTTAATATAAGGAGCCACGTTATGCATATTTAAAGAATTATTGTAAGTATAATAGTTTAGAAAATTCTAATTTTTAAATTGACGTATTTTGAGATGAAATATCATTGGTGCGACACCTCAAGGTGCCAAGTCACGGACTTTATGAACCTCTGATGTAGTTTATGTATAACATTAAATAATAAATGTATAAAAAATAATTACTGTTTGATCCTTTTATAATGGCTACAAAAAAAAGTTAGTATAACTTGGAGGTTCGGTGTCAAATAATTTCTAATATTATATGTAATATTCCTTCTACTTCTGAATAATTAAGATTTTTCAATTTTCAGATGAGAAAAGAATGATGCAATTGTACAGCCAGTGGAAATTTCACTGGAATGTGAAACAATTTAGTAGTTTCAGAACCTTTCAATCAGTATTTTTTATTGTAGGTAAGTTTTAATACTTTTTGCAATAAACTTACCATTTCTTCATTAAAATTATTATAATTAAGTTATTTTCCAAATATTCATAATACATTCTTAACTTATTAAATGTGCATGTTTCCAAGTCTTGTTTGGTAAATAATGTTATAGAAATTACTTAAATGATAAATAAATATTATTAGTACACAAGTTTTTATTATGTTATTATTTTACTAATGTTGTAAGTATAATAGTACGAAAGATAAAAAATTAATTTTGATTCATTTTTAGGACTCTTAATCGGTATTCCTCTGCTTCAGAGATTTTTAAAATTAAGAGATACGTTCATTATGATGATTGGATCATTGTCTCACATTACTGCCAGGGTTATATTTATGGTTTTCAAGGAACCGACCTGGTATTATATTGGTAAGTAACAAATAGATAATTAGTTGTTATAATATTCACTATAAATTATGTGAATTGATTGCTATTTTCTCAGAAAGTACTTTATAATTTCTGACACATTATATTACTTTGATATAATAATCCCCTTTTCCTCCGCCATTTTATTTCCTCAACTACGTTAGAAATAAGTATGGTGTTTGACTAAATAATATATATCTTAAATTACATAGTTTATTAATTGTCATTTCTTATTTTGAAAGGCATATTGTTCTCGTTAGTTATGTATGATTAAAATTTTAATTTTTAAAACATTTAATTAAAAAGATTAATTTTAAAAAAGAAATAAATAAAATTAAAGTAAATCACACCCGCAGGATAACAATTAATTCAGCAAGACTACCATTTTTTTTCTAATTGTTATATTTGTAGATTTCAAACATCTTTAGTTGTTTTTATTTTTCAATTGAAGATTTTGAAATTATTTAATAAAATAAAAAAGTTCTTCAGGATTTTTCAAAATCTTGATTTTCAAATAATTGTCAGTTAATTTACCTGTTACACTTGTAAAACTGAATAAATAAATAAATTATGAATTGTTTTCTAATAATTATTTTTAAAATATTATTACGATGGATCAGACAGTTATTGATACTTCAGATAGTTACTTACACCACAAACTTTAATTGAAACCTTAAGAACATAAATGTTTAGTTTTAAATCGGAGAGGGGAGAGGGAGGAAATTTCTTGTGAATCATAGATATTAGGTGTGTTAAGAGATTTTCAGATTGTAAACATATAAAAATGTATTTAAACCGTTATTGCAAAGGTGGATTGTGTGCGCATTGATTTTACTCTTTCTTTCTCATTAAATTATAAAATATCTTCTAGGAATATTTTTTTTTCATCTTAAAGTAGAATAACTTAGAAAAAATTATATTGAGTGGAACTATTTTTACATGAATTTATTATATGAATATTACTGTCTTATTTACCCTTATGCATTAACCTTTACAAGTGTTCGAAACTAACTTAATTTTTATTTCATTATTTTAATAATTTTGTTTCAGGAGCTGTCGTTGCCACTTTCGGACCTGTGGTTGCGCCTGTATTGAGATCCATGACTTCTAAACTAGTACCACCTTCTGAAAGGGGTAATTTTTTTACTTAGTGTTTCAAAAATTTTATATAATAACAAAAAATGAAACTAAGATATGAATTCTTATTTTATTATGACCTAATTTTACGGTATTCCAATCTGAAATACTGGCAATATCTCACTGTGCCTCAAAGTTGTTGTTAGATGGGAGGATGGTGAGGAGGAATATCTCCATCCATGCTAACAATACGAGCGCTGGGCAACTATACAACTATATCTAAGACTGTTAAGGACTGTGCCCTGAGGGATCAGTCCTTGCTCTCTGGAAGCTTGTCTTCAATGAATTTCTGGGAGTGTTAGATGAAGAGCGGTTCCCTGCCACTGCCTATGTTTACGACCTAGCTGCTATGCTGGCCTCGAACTGCAGGGCTGGAGTCAAGAGAGAAGCAGAGCGATAAGTTGGCTTGGTCACGAGATGATGTGAGGGAAATTAGACGAGAATGGCTGCTGCCAAGACTCAAGCCATTCTCATCAAGGTAACTCCCTATAACAATGGACATGGAAGGCCAAAGGATACGTCCAAGCGAGGTGGTAACCTACCCAGGATGCCTCATTTGGAATATCTGGCAGGTAGAGTAGTCCTGGCAATGAACAGTCTAAGTCGCATGGGAGACGCATTTTAGGATCTCAGATATCCAGTCACAATCACTATCACCTTCTGGTTTCGGAACCTCATACAACGACAAAAATTTAGGCTCGCATTGACTCAGAGAACAGCTCTGCTTCGGATCTCTAGAGCATACAGAACAACTTTGCATGAAGTGGCGTATCACATCACTTGTTGGTGCAACAGGTTTGCTGAGTTAAGATTCTGCTTATTCGTTAAAATAGGGTGTCTGACCTGAAGGCTAACGAGCTTGTCATTGTAACAACCCTACTTCAGTTTGTCGAGACTGCTGGAATAATAATCTCTGAATAAGAGCACCATTAAATTGGGCGTACAATAAGCCTTATTTGCCGCAGTGCATTTTGCCACAAAAAAAAAAAAGACTTCATTTAACAGTACAACTTCATAAACGCATGGATTGCTAAACCTTTTCATTATTCATTAAATTATTTATTTCATGAAATTTTATTAATTGTGTCACTATATAAGTATTTTTTTTTTCTAGGCAAAGCTTTTGCTCTGCTCTCTGTTTGCGATACTACAGTTCCATTGGCATCAGGCTTCATATTTTCGCAGGTCTACATCCACACTATCAGTACTTCTTTTCCTGAAGCGATATTCTTAGTAACTGCTGTTAGTCAGTTGATGGTGCTACTGATCGCTATGTGAGTGTGTCTGGTTTCTAATGTTATTATTTTAGACCATTATATATTAATTTTATAGAGGAAAAAAAGTATATCAATTAAAAGCGTGAATAGACGGTCTAATA